TTTTTTTTTTTTGGCCCAATCGTATAGCTCGAGTCCATTAGAATTAGCTCTCAAGTCTCAAGTTAACGGGTCATGTGTTTAGTGCTTTTATAATAACTAGCATTGATATTCATGCTAGGCGTATTTTAAATAATAATATTTATATTTATATATTTTTTTATTTTTTCAGTTACTTTTAGAAGAATACATTTGGTGTTTAATATATGTGATCTATATCTATATCTATATATATATATATAAAAGGTTTGATTATTTTTTAAATAGTAACTATTTTCCTCTAAAAATTTATTTACTATTTTTGGAAATTAATTTAATAATTTATGGTATATATCAAATGATCACTTATGGAAATTGCGGCTCATTATTTATGGAAATAATTAAGTCATATTTTAAGATACCTTAATTGCTCAAATCATGTGAATTTATTTTTGGTATTGATGGTTGTTTCTATATGAAATAAATTAATCAATATATGGCATAAAGTGAGCAAATTTATTTAGATTATTTAATGACTATGTTTTGGTAGAAAACTAGTGCAGAGCCCGTGCGATGCACGGGGTGCACAATTTTAAGGATATTTAGCGAGGATTATTATTATATACATGGATAAAGAAAAATGTACGGGATATATATAGTACGTGCCCGTGCGATGCACGGGATATATTTATATGGTAAATATTATATTATAAGATGCAATATTAAATAAAGAGATTTATAATACGTAGGAAAATTATATAATAAGATAGTATTCGACAAAGATACAATCATATATTATTAAAAGACCTCCTTGTACACAACATTATGAGTTTGATTATTAGTCAACTGGTTATTCTCACAAACTAATATCTTCAACCCCCTTCTATTAGTTACACGCGAAACAACAACATATAATAAAGACATTTAATGAAGTGGTAACATGTACCTTTTCTACAAACATATTAAATATTTTCATGTTAAGAATAAATAATTGATTAGGAAATAGTGTACAAATTATTAGAAAAACAAAACAACATGGTTAGAATGAGATTAGTAAAAATACTTCATGGGTTGAACATTTAAATTAAATAATTGAAATAACTGGAAAGTAATATTAAATGATAGGTATTCTCTTGAACGTATAAGTTGCATGATTAGTACCCATGATTGACCAGTTTCGTCATAGTGGCTCTTGAGAGCAGAGCCGGTCCTGAAATATTATAGGCCATGGGCCAATTGAATATATAGTGCCCATATTATTTTTATTAGAAAAAAATCATAAACAATATTACATATTACAAAATAAAAATAATGAAGATTATAAAAACTTGTAAAATTTTATTAAAAAAATTGACAATAAGTAAAGTAATAAATCATGTTTAGTTCTTGTATATGAAAAAAGACGTCTAAATATAAATATTGTTTTAAACTCTAATTCACATTAACTATATGTTTAAAATTATTGTTATCTCGAATAGTCAACTCTTTAATTTGTTGCAAAAATACTAATATTATTTTTAATATATATATATATATATATATATATATATATAATAAACAAATAACAACAAATTGAAACTCACATTTATGAATGACACACTAATTGGGGATTTTTATTTTCGCAGGTGGTTGAAAGTGAGGAACACGCTGATTCAATATTTGGAGATTTATAATTTATAATTGCAATATCGCATTATATGTAGAGATAATGTGAAGTAAATCATATCAGATCAGTATATGTAGGAACAAATATGATCAGATTTATATCGCATTATATAGTGCATTATAATTATAATTGCATTAAAAAAAGATTTTCCATACAACAACACACTTCAATTTAGGCGTGAAATATGATTTAATTTTGGAAGAAGTTTTTTTTGTTGACCGATCAAAACTTTTTTTTATTGGTTTAGTAATAAGTAGTAAGTAGTAGAATGCATTAAAAAAATAAGTAATAAGTAACTAAATAAAACTATTGATGGAAATAGCATGCATTAATTGTCTTTTGACTTTTCTAACTACTAATTTTGGTAAATGGGATGGCTTATTATATAAGTATAGATTTGTTGAAAACTTAATCGATATACGGTGTACTCTTTTATGTAATGTGCAGGCTAATATATTGGCTTTTAGGCGTGGGTTTCAATTTTTCGTATGAAATTAACAAAATAAAATCACTGTAACTCCGACAAAATATTATGAATTGATATTCTGATATAATGTGCGTTTATCGATGTTTTGTTTATAAAAAGAGCTTTGGTCAAATTTTTTTTTTGGCGGGTCTCGATTTAATTAATTTTATGTTATGACATTTCAAACAATTAATGTGTGAAATGAACTGTTCATTTTTTTATATAAAAAATCTTATGACTGATTGTTTTTACTCAACTACTTAAATATTTCTATTTGGATGTTTTATACAAAAATAAATTCATTTTAATTAATTAAACAATATAAGTTTTATACTTATACTTATTGTTCACATAAATATTTAAATATATGATAAAATTATACCAAAATAATTATGTTATGAAATCACTTTATAGTCAAATTGATTTTTTGAATAAAATTTTGAAATGACACATATTTTAAAACGAATATAATGTAATCAGTTATGTGCAACGCGAAATTGTCTACTAATTTTAATTCAATAGACGTTTTTATGTAGTTTTCCACAATATATATTTTATATAATATTTCAATAAATTAATATAGGTACATTGTATTAAATTATTAATTCCATGCTTTTAATTTATCATATTATTTATTGAGAATATTTAAGTTATAAATATTAATGAATATCTCTTGCCCGTGCATCGCACGGGATTTGTACTAGTATATATAAAAACGTTTGATTATTTTTTAAATAATAACTATTTCCCGCCAAAAAAATGTTGTTTACTAATTCTGGAAACTATTTAAACATTTTATGATATGTTTTGAAGATATAATTTAGGTAATTGCGGCTGATTTATTAAGGTAATAAATCACGTATTTTTGTTTTGTATCTCAAGATATGCATATCATATAGTTGCACATATATATCATATATTTTTACCTAAACTATCGAAATCTATCACATTCCTAACAAATATTAGATTTACTTATATATTTTTAAATTAATCACATCAATAAATAATATTAATATACATTAAATATTTATCATTATATAAAAAAGGAATACTATTTTTTATAAATTTTATAAATGATATCGACATTATACGACAATTAATTTTTTAATAAAATAATATTTGAGTATTATAATGAACCAAAATATGTAAAATTATTAGTTTTTTATATTAAAAAATAAATATATATGTTAAAATATTATTTATATTTATATAAACGGATCACGGGCTAATACATTGTCAAAATAAAGTTGCGCAAAAAAATATTTTAACTTATGAAATCCCCGTGCATCGGACGGGATTTTCTCTAGTTGTTTTTTCATAAGTTTGTAAAATGTTGTGAATGTCTATATAAGGCATTTGTATATAAAATTATAAATAACAATATTTTTGTGTATTTATTTTTCTAATGTTTTAAAATTTTTAACAACGAAAAATTTGTATTTGGTTCAATGGAAATATAACTCATAATATTTATTTTGTTTTACTAATTTTTTTATTGACGATTGTATGAAATATCATCCATCTGATAGTTGAATTTTGCTTTAAGAAATACTTTTTATTTTAATATTAGTTAATGTTTATATTTTGATACTATCTTTCGGTATATATAATTCATTTTTCAATGAGTACCAAAGTGTAATAATTTTTACTTATGATACTTGAGTATAAAATATTTTATTTACT